CCCCGGAACATGTCAAAAACATTTTTCCAGATCTGGTCTGGACATGGTGTAAACATAGCCTGAAAGGAAAACCATTATTGTTACAAAGTTAAATAGGCTTTAGAAAACACATGTCCATTGAGTCCAACCAATAGAAAGCTGAATAAATAACCTGTTTCACAGAAACCTAAATCTGGAGTTGATCCAGAGGAAGGCAAAACATCCTTATAAAGCATGGGCAGATTTACTCCAATAGGGAAAAAAATATTTTCTGATCTACAATCTTCAGTGTTATAACTCCAGTTATATTCTGTGCATTTAGGTGCACGTTCAGTTTTTTTTTTTCTTTTTAAAAAGCAATCTACTGAGCTGGCTAGAACTAGCCCCTGAGGAACTCTATATCAAGGCAAATGTCAAATTATCACAAGATAATAGAGTAAATGTTTAGATTTAAATTGCCTTAATAGTCCTTATGATATAAATGTGGATTTTGAGACTATTTTTTATTCGGTATTATTTTGTTTTAGGCATAGACAGTTTATTATCTTATTCTATTAGTAATGTGTTTTATATATTTGCATATTGTATGCTTTATCTAGATACATTTACACAAACAATAATTTGATGTTTTGATGTTTGGGTGAAGTTTAAAAGAGAAATATGGGGTAACCTTTTTATCCCATAGTTCTCTTTAGGGTCATGGGAGGACATGTACTAGCGTCCTCCTAAGACCCAAAGCTCAGTATATAGCGAGCAACAGCTTGCTATATACTGAGAGCGCCGCAGCTGGGACGGATCCCGACAATGCTGTTGAGATCCACCCAGCTGCGTGAGTGGCAACTGGCTCTGCCTATCTAGAGGCAAAGCCAGCTGTGCCCGCCCCTCCCCGTCCGTTCCTTCAGTCACCGCTCTCTTCACGGAGATGATCTGAAAGTGAGCAAGCAAAGGTATGCGTTTGCACACTTCCCGATCTATAGAGCCGACATGTGACAGTTTCATTGTCACACGTCGGCTCGTACTATGAGGATGAGTGAAAATCACTGAACTTTGAGGATGAGTGAAAATAGTTCTCCTTTAACAATTATATGTATAATGACCATGTGACTTGGTAGCTTCTATAGTCCCCTTGAGGAATGCCTACTTCAACATATCCTGAAGGGAACCAGAATGTATGTTAGTGGAGCAAAGCAAGTCCTATTTTAGAGCTAAATTATGGATAAATATAATGCAGTTACATTCTGGACAATAAACATACATCTTGAAAATTAACCTGGGCGAACACTACGCACATTTAATTAGTTGCTGATTTTAATCAAGCAGCACAAGCACTTTAAAACAAGCCCTAATTCACCTTTGTAGCTTAAAGGCAATGCAGAGAAATTGATCTTTAAAGCTCAGAGAAAAGGCAAAGAAATCTTAGAGGGTTATTCACGAAGGAGCCAAAGGGCCCCGCCCCTTGTCCCCGCCCAGCAGTTTGACTGAAGGCAGAAGGAGCCTATGGCTCCTTCTGCCTTCAGTATCCTCCCCCAGAACCAGAAAGTTCGGGACGGAGGGGGACCAGCGGCGGTGACAAGCGGTGACAAGCGCTGACAAGCGCTGACAAGCGCTGCTAACAGGTAAGTGTGGGGGCGACGGGGAAGTCTAAAAGGTACTTGGTGTTTTTTACCTTTATGCAGAGAATGCAGTAAGGTAAAAAAACACCCAGCCTTTAGTAGTACTTTAAGTATATTCAGCTTTCTACTATCTACTACTTTCTTCCAGGACATTCAACAAGACAATTCCTTCAATGGTCTTTATTTTTACCTTCCCCTATGATGGGTGCTCTTACGCCAACATCCTTAAAACCATTGACATCTCTTTTGTTTGAACATTCACGTAAATCTAATCTGTGGCTTCAGTATTTTCAACTCAGAGCCTTCTACGATAAATTACAGGGCCAGGCCCCGATACATAGACCACTTATCTGGTTTGAATCTCTTTGTAGTCAGAACGAAGTATCAACTCATGTGATTTCTACACTTTATCGTAATATAGTGAACGCACAATTTTCTGCAAGTCCTTATTTAATTTGCGCTTGGGAGAAGAATCTTCAAATCTGACAGAAGAGGTGCAAAAATCCTTTATATTAATTCATAAAATATCTATTACGTCTGCAGCCCAAGACCCTTCTAAATAGAATCTTCCCTTTAAACTCTGCATAGTGTTGGCGATATAGGGATGAAGAAAGGACTAATTTCCACATTTGGTGGGAATGTGCTCATATAATGCCTTTTTGGAAATGTATCTTTGAAGATTATAACCAGGTAGTTGACATTTCATTGGTTCCTTCTCCTAACATAGCCCTTCATTCAATATTTCCAGGGTTTTTATCTAAGATTTTCTTAGATTGTTTGCGGCCACAGCACTAGTGATGGGCCGAACACCCCCGTGTTCTGTTCGAATTTAAACTTTAGAACATGGAAAAAGTTTCAGTTCAAACTCGAGCTCAATGCAAGTCTATGGTGCTAAAACTTTAAAAATCAAATATCCCCTTTTTGAAGGCTTATATGCAAGTTGTTGGCCATAAAAAATGGTATGGGGATTCAGGCACTGCCCTGGGGGACAGGAATCAATGAAAAAAAACTTTGAAAAAATACAGTTTTTAACGGAACAGTGATTTTAACATCACTTAAAGTGAAACAATAAAAATGAAAAATTGCTTTAAATATCATGTCTGGGGGGTCCCTTAAACTGCCTATAAAGTGGCACATCTGTACAATGTATAGAACCTAAAGCAAAAAGGAGCGCCTCCATAGTGTAAAACAGTATTTAATAAAAAGAAGGCACACAGATCGGGCTGTACTTACAAACAACTGTAGAACACAGGCATGTAACAAGGCTGGGTCCATCAAGAACCGACCAAAAGTCACATAGTGTATGGCCAGCTTAACTCTTCTCCTTTCTATCTAAACCAAAAAAGTTTTGGCTGGAGTTGCACTAGGCAATGCTATAATTTCTAATAGATGTAAATATAACAAACAAGCCAATGTTTATATTTTTACATGCATTTTGAATATTAATACATTTATCAGACATATAAATCATTTTTTATTTAAGGTTTAGTGGTAATTGTGACTTAATGGTTCTCAAAAAGTAATTAAATATAATCACAGATTACTGACAAAAACCAAACTAGAAGGTCATTGTTAAGATTCTAAAATGAGAGCTGAGAAATTCTTGTGACAGTCAGCACTGTTTATTTGGTAATTGGTGTGTTGGTTTCATGGTCTCCTGGGAAAACAACATTTAGTTGACATGGGTCAGAGTGCTTCTAGTTGATTTCATTCTTCCACAAGTACACGTTCTGGCTTTTACACTTTGCCATCTGCCTGTCACTTTGCAATCACCACAGCATGATCTAAATTCCTCTTGTGGCCAATCAGATTGCTCCTTTGATCTGGCCCATTGAGTAACATAATCCTGTTTATCTGTTACACTTTCTGCTCTAATCTGATTAGGCCAGGTCTCACATTGTTTCCCCCCTAGCAGTAGATACATTTAACTGCAACAAAGACACCAAATGTCGCTCTGCTGTACTAGCTCAGAGCAGCCTTATCAAAGCAGACTGGCAGGACCAGATTACAGCACAGAGGTTAATGGAGAGACTGATAGGATCTGCCGAAGGTTATTTAGCAAAGAACCAGTAATACAACAGCTGTTAGCTGAAAATTCCATATCTCCCTGGCACAATGTGCCAACTTAATTCTTGATATAGGCGGCATTCATAGGACATACAAGGATTAGCACATTTAACAATTTACATCTCCTAACTCAGAACACTGTAGTATTGCGCATCAGTTGATTATTATAACCATCTACAATGTCATTTATTCAGAGTACTGATATACTTTCACATCAAAATCTATCGCTTGATTTAAAGAGTACTTTCCTTTAGTTGATGTTGGTAGGTTAACTGGCTCTTATCTAATTTGGCCTTATTGTGTGTGTATGCTTGTGAGATAGGGACCTTAAATATTAAGCTCCTTTAATGCAGGGACTGAATGTGCACTATATAAAAGCACTGAGAAAACAAGGAGGGAAGCGCTACAAACTAAGTGAGAGGGCGTGTTACGGAGCCAGGGAGGAGGGAATGGGAAAAGGTTGGGAGGAGCAGTCTTAATTTCTGTGGCCGAGTGATATGTTCGGCGGTCGATCCAATTTGTTCAGATGATCCCCAGGGAACATGAATTATAGATTTTGATGTGAAAGTATATCAGTACTCTGAATAAATGACATTGTAGATGGTTATAATAATCAACTGATGCGCAATACTACAGTGTTCTGAGTTAGGAGTCCCCCCCCGCCTGTTTCCCTTGAGCGCTGTATTTTGGTACATTGTCCTTATAACTTTCCATATAAAAGCACTGAACAAACTGTCTGCACTATATAAAATACCTACCGGGCACACATTGTAATAACCCTTGCAGTGGGGCTACCCCCTGCACTGCAAGGGTAACTGCTTGTTTTTGCCTATGGTAAAAAAATATATATAATCATCCAATCCTTGAAGCCAGCAGTGCTCCCTCTAGCCGCTCTCCTCCTCTGCTGCAGTGACTATATGTCCCTCGGTTTCCTCACATCCTATTGTGTCTATATCCACACTATATTGGACATGATGACTCGCAGGACCTTAGACCGCTGCAGCAGAGGGGGATAGACGCTCCAGTGACCAGTCTAAGACACAGCCAGCTCAGACGATCAGGTGAGTATAACTTTGTTTTTTACCCTAGGCAAAAACAAGCAGTTATCCCTTGCAGTGCGGAGGCAGCCCCATTGCAAGGGTTAATAAAATGTGTGACCAGATTTCTTTTTTCAATAAATACTGGTATCTCAGCATAGTTTGCAAACAGTACTGTACTTAGTGAAGTATAGTCCAGTTGGTGTCCTAGCTATTACTTTATTAGGTCATGTGTAGCTGGTAGGTTATCATATGCAAGATCTGATATGGTTCACCTTTCCAAATTTCCTTGGTATGTTGAGGAGCTGTAAAGTTTATATAAATAATCCGTGCCTGTTCATCCCGTAGACCCAGCCAAAGTCCTTGGTATGGCCAATGATTAAAAGGTTATCTGTAATGAATTAAAAATAAATGGGACATGGACTAGTGGCAATTGCTGTTGTTTTGTCCACATACATATATATCATGATGCAACCATGCCAGAAGTTCTGTGCACAATGATGTCAGTACCAAATAAATAATTAGAGGCCCGTCAATCAAAATATAGATATTATGACCGTGTTTTTGCACATGTTGTATTAGCACTTACATTGTTAAGTTTAATATCACTCTTGTTTCGTCCAGAGACTTGACCAGTAAGGTGACACAACATAGTCCGGCTCTGTCTTCTTGCCGAGCTAAAATGAGAAGCTCGACGGTTCTTCTGTTTATCTGGTAAGAGAAGAAGATATAAAGACACATTATAGCTCATAGTTACTCTGACTTCTGATATAGCTCTCCAATGACATGCACAATGGTCAGTAGCAATATGTATGCCTTTTTCTGTGTTGATCAAATGCAACCATGGCTAATATGTCTTTAAGTGCTATACTAGATTTTGTGATCCAGGTCATTGCAGTCTTCACTAAGGCAGGTCACAACAAAGCATAACTCTCATGAGTTTATTTTATCATAAAGCAGACTCAAAGACCCCCCACCACACACACCTCTTTTCCATTGACCAGGACGACAAATGGACTGTTCTGAAATACTAATTGTCAGGGTCTTTAGCATTTGTCCACTTTTGGATTAAAAGAGAAATCAGAACAAAAATTTGAACATTTTAATAGGTAAAGGGGTTGGGCAACTAATGTAATTAAGAAGCTGATGAAAATAAAAGACTTCCCAAAATAAATCAGACATAGCTGAAATCTTCAATTATTCTACGAAAACTTCCATTTAAACATTCTGCACAGACTTATAAGAAACAAAATGTCCAAAGGGAGTATGGGGATGCCAAGTTTCAAATGCTGTGCTCTGTAAGATAAGTAAATAAAGGCAGTTGTATAGCACTACTGTATAAATTAGCCTTAGGCTAAAGCCCCTTTAAATTGATGTTTTTACCATTATGGTAATGTATAGTAAAATGCTCAGTTTACTGCACAGTAAGGTGCATATTGCAATGCATTGAAGGGACGTTTATTTTGAATGACACTCCAACACATTTTTACAGCAGAAGGCAACCCGTGTGTTGCAGTGTACTGTTAAAAAAGGTGCATGTGTGATATTTAGTGAGTTGCCAATCCATTCATGTATGGGATGACTTAATGCAGTGTACTGTAAATGTAATGCGGAATTTAATTAATGGTGCCATATTGTGAAAGACCAGTAGATCTTCGTATGCTGGCGAGCAGCAAATGAGCAGTGGCGGTCTCCCCATTGTGAGCTAGCAGACAGACAAGATTTGAGGGAACCTGGATTGCTCCCTGGTGAGAGGGAAGGGACACAGGACTATTACCCCTGCTGTAAAGAGCATGCTTCAGAAAGTGTGTGTAAGTGTGGGCAAGGGTCCTTATAGGAAGATTTACTATCTGTAACCTGTACAAAGCCTTTAGACGTGTCTGTGAGGTGTTACCTTATGAGATTTATGTAAAATCTCCATGAACATATGTATATAGTTTTTTTAATTAAATATATTCTCTGTTGGGTTACTGAATGGGAGTAATACAAAAGGTGTTTTTACTGTCCTTAGGGATTGAATACAGGGGGATTTTGAATGTAATTATTGATCTGTCCAGGCATAGCTTGTTTATTGTAAATGGTCAAGACAAGGAGCCATAAAATCCATAGACATTTCAGAGCCTAGATTATTTATTTTAGGAATATGGGCATACTCTCTTTTGTCTCTAAAAGAGTTGTTATTCCAAACCCGCTTGGCAGTGAACTAATTCCCTTCCCCCGCCTCCTTATTCTATGTTGTGTTAGCCGCTGTGCTGTTTAGTGGAAATTCCACTGTGAAGAATATTTAGTACCTGTTGCACTGCGCTTCACTGTGTTCAAATAAATATCCAATACTGAACTAGGTTATCTTTTCTTTAAACCAATTTAGTTGCGCTAGGAAAATGTGAAATCACCAGCTGCAACAATGTGTATAGACGTGATTAATATGAGCAATTATGTTGCGCTTGGTAGTGAGCAATATTTTCATTAAGATTGAAAACACAGATAGGTTATCTTTTCACCACAAACAATAGTGCAAAACAATGTATACCTTTCCGCATAGTAGTTTATAATCTCATACCGTGAATAAAGAATTTCTACTAATAGAGACTCTTATACCATCCCAAACTGGTATATACTGTAATAAGCTGATTACATAAAAAAACGGTGACCTACTGTGAAATTAACAAATTATAACACTTCTAGTGAATCGTACATTGTTTAAGGTAAAACATTTAAAAGCCCATTTCCATATGCACGTGATCTTCACATCGCAAGAACACATCTATTGCGTTTCCACACTACCTCTGTGCTTCGATCAAACATCCACACTCACCAGATATCTATGGCCAGCTTATTGTAGCTAGGCTATATATGCTTTGATCAGGGATGTTGATTCAGATGGTCTCCACTGTTCCTATTCCGCAACTTCCAGAGAGAGCCCCACCTCTGTCCTATGGCTTCACTGAACTTCCCTTCTATTTATGCTGCATATTCTCTCATCGGCACTCAAAAAACACAAACATCCTCCATTGTGCAGCTCTTTAAAAACTTATTTTATTAAACTTTAAAAACAAACACACTTTCAAACAATGTTGTTTCATCCGCATTAAGATAATAGCGTTTTTATTTATTCGTTTTCCTCCTTGCTCTCTGTATCTTGTAATGTCAGTATGCCTAGGCGGACAATTAGATTGTCTGCTCTTATAAAGACGCAGTTGTGACTTGGGGTTAGTACGGACACCTGCGCATTTGTAAATGTCTGAATACAGTAGAGTCATTGAACATTCGTAAACAAAGGGGTTGGATGCTGTAACAAAAAGCATTTTAAAAATATCCAATCGCCAGAGAATTATTCTAATTTGATCGGATTAGTACTTGGGGGCCACCAATCCGTGCCCCTCCGAGTAACTCTATGAAGGCAAGACCTGTATCAATACAAACTTTGGAAGAAAAATTTGTCTTTTTGGACCACCAGAATAGGGCCCTCACATGATAATTAACTGGTAATTATACAGGTATTCCCTTAGCACTTATATATGTGTCTGTCATTTGATTTGTTTATATCACTGTATGTGTATTTTGGTAATATGTCTATGCATTCTTAAACATTTTCTTTGTATTTAGTAGTTAAATAGATTGTTGGTTCACTGGATTTACAGTGCCCATACACTGTTCGAATTTTGGCCGGTCTTTGAGGAACCGGCTGAAATTCGCACAGTGTGTGCCGCTGTCAGCACCCTTTCGATTGGCATCCCTCCATTAGCTGATCAAAGGAGCTGGTCGGAAAATATTCGATCCATCAGAGCTGGCAGTCAATGAGCTGCCAGCTCTGGTTGGGTATTCTGACAGGGGCTGGCGGCAGATGCCAGAATACGATGTAAAGAGCGGGGTTACTCGATTGACACGCTGTTAGTGTTGATGGAGGAATTGGGTCTATTTTTTTTGCGTTCAGCCCGCGGGTTGAACGAAAAAATAGATCAGTGTATGGCCAGGTTTTTTACTACCGTGTTTCCCCGAAAATAAGACAGTGTCTTATTTTTTTTTTTGCACGAAATAAGACACTAGGTCTTATTTTCGGGGGATGTCTTACCTGGCTGCAGCTGTGCTCTGCCGTCCAGGGAGCCACAAACAGGTGGGCGGGCATGCGTGCGGCCGGGGGGGCGTGTCTGGCAGGGGGGCGGGAGGGAGCTGCCTCTCCGCTCGGAACTAAGGAGACGAGGGGGCGGGCATGCGTGCTGCTGGAGGGGGGGCGTGTCGGGTAGGGGGCGGGAGGGAGCTGCCTCTCCGCTCTGATGTCGTCATCCAGAGAGCAACAGCATGCGGGTAGGTGGACGGGCGAGGGGGCGGGAGGGAGCTGCGGCCGGTCTTCACAGCTACCCCGGAAGTAAGATCTAGCGCTATCTTCGGGGATGTCTGTAATATAAGACCTACCCCGAACTAGGTCTTATTTTCGGGGTAGGTCTTATATTACAGACATCCCCGAAGATGGCGCTAGGTCTTATTTTCGGGGGATGTCTTACTTTCGGGGAAACACGGTATATACCAATACATTTCTGTTGTGGAATTGAACTGAAAAATCTCATGTTTGAATCCTCATAACTAAACGCTTGTAGGTGTGAACACTTCTATAGGAATCATAGCTTAACCTATTGATTTGGGTAACATATGTAACAGCTGCCTCTGATATATCTGTTGTTTTGTAAATTTCCTCAAGTAAAGATTACACTTTGTTATTATGGAACCTGCCCTGGACTGTCATTATTCCTGATCATGAATTTGTCTGTGGTGACAGAGGGAGTTATGCTGGCCTTGATTGTGGGCTCAATAGTGGGACTTTATCCTGCTTATGCCAGGCTGGGTCTTGGCTAGAGTTCCAAAGGGGCTGAAGTCTTGCTGTTCAGCCCTTAGAGATGTGGGAACCCCATGATAAGGATTACTGTGGTGCCACATTGTCTACCCCAAGCCCAAGAAAGAGAAGGCAAATTCCTGCATGGTCCTGTTATGTAATACTAGTTATCAGGTGGAATATAGAATTAGATTAAGTATTGGGGATTGCTCCCTGGCATGTTGTTCTAAGGATATTAAGTCACATCACAGAAAGTTACTCTATGCATCCTAAGCAGATATCCCCTTCTTTCCTGTCTCAGTCACTACTCTCACCAGGACATCAGGACAAGGCATATTTTGACTCACCTTATCATCTCGTTTGGAAATAGCATCTAACGTTTTCATATAAGATGGCATGTTTTACTTTGGAAATGTTATTATCATAATTCCTAATAAATTTGATGTCACCTTTACTATCAAGCTTCCTGTTTGTACGACTCTGTTGCCTCTGTATATACTTATCTTTGAATACCTACTGGACATGGATCCGAGACGATTAAACAGGTGAGTCATCCATATTGGATGTTTGATTGGTTTCTTACCAGCCACAATGGACTTGATGTGTTCTGCAGAGTCCTTTCTGATAGTATACATATTTTTTTGTGTCATTGGAGTGGCACAGTATATCCTCTATTGTGAGCTGCTTATTTCAAATTCTTGGGAGTAGGACAAAGACTTAATTGGCTATGTATCAATAATGTGTAAATAGGTTTATAAGAGATGACTGTATTCCTACTGATGGCAGCAACATAATGTATGATATGTGTGATATCTTTAAAGGGAAAAGCTGGCACTGTGCCTCTGCCATCTATAGGCATATGACTATTATTCCCAGGTAAGGA